ATAAAAATAGACTGGAAAGGCTGGAACTCTTTTCACTGGAGCGTAGGAGATTGAGAGGTGACCTTATTGAGGTTTGTAAAATCATGAGGGCCATGCATAAGGTGAATAGCAAAGGTCTTTTCCCCAGGATGGGGGAGTTCTAAACTAGGGGGCATATTTTTAAGTTGAGAGGAGAAAGATTTAAGAAGCACAAGAAGGGCAACGTTTTTACAAAGGGAGTGGTTCGTGTGTGGAATGAACTGCCAGAGGAAATGGTGGATGCAGGTACAATTACAACATTTGAAAGACATTTGGATAACTTCATGAATAGGAAATGTTCAGAGGGATGAAGGCCAAATGCAGGCAGGTGGGACTAGTTTAGTTTGGGATTATGTTCAGCGTGGACTGGTTGGACCGAAGGGTCTGTTTCCATGACTCAATGACTCTATGATAATCCTCAACTCAACCTTTTTGCCTTTTCTCCATAACCCCTGATTTTCTTGTTGATTTAAAAGCTCTCTATCTCAGCCTCGAATATATTTAATGACCCAGCCTGGAATCATTAGTGAGGTCATTAAGTAATTTCAAGGCTGAGATAGACAGATTCTTAATCAGGAAGGGAATTGAAGGTTATGAGGAAAAAGAAGGAATGTGGAGTTGACTATTATCAGATCTGCCATGATCTCACTGGATGGCAGGACAGCCTTAACAGGCTCAATGTCCTACATCTTATGTTCTTATTGAGCAATGTGAGGAAGTATTGAGAGAGATGAATTTACTTTTTTTTTCCCTTTATTCATTCACGGGATGAGGGCATTGCTGGCTAGGCAGCATTTATTGCCCATCCCTCATTGCCCAGAGGGCAGTTAAGAGCCAACCACATTGCTGTGGGTCTGGAGTCACATGTACACCAGACCAGGTAAGGATGGCAGTTTCCTTCCCTAAAGGGCATTAGTGAACTGGATGGGTTTTTCCCAACAATCAACAATGGATTCATGGTCACCATTAGATTGTTAATTCAAGGTATTTATTGAATTTGAATTCCACCATCTGCCATAGTGGGATTTGAACCCAGGTCCCCCAGAACATTACCTGGGTCTCTGGATTAATAGTCCAGCGATAATACCACTAGGCCATCACCTCCCCCATACTGAAAGAAAGAAGTTTTAAGAAGTATCTAAATGGGAGAGGTCAGAGATTTAGTGAGGGACTAGGCAGCTGAAAGCACAGTTAGTAATCATGGAGTGCTTGAAATAGAGCTAACACAGGAAACCACATTGGGAGGAGTGCAGGGATCTTTCCTTATATTTATTCACAGCATCTAATTTAGGCCAGCATTTATTGCTCAGCCTTAATTACCTTGGAGAAGGTGGTGGTCAGCTGCCTTCTCCAACCACTGCACTCCTTGAGATGTAGGATTCCTGTTAGCAAGAGTCATCACTTTGATCTCAGTGACAGGGAAGGAATGGTGATATATTTCCAAGTTAGGATGGCGAGTGGCTTGCAGAGAAGCTTGCAGGCTAAGGTTTCCCAAGTATCTGCTGATCTTGTCCTTCCAGATGGTAGAGGCTGTGGGTTTGCAAGGTGCTATTGAGAGTGCCATGGTGAGTTGCTGCAATGCATCCTATAGATGGTGCACACTGCTGGCATTGTGAGGAGTGAATAGGGAAGGTGGATGTGGTACCAATCAAGCTGGCTGCTGGATGGCATCAAGCTTCTTGAGTGTTGTTGGATCTGTCCCTATCCAGGCAAGTGGGAGTACCTAGGGGTTCAGGCACATAATTCTTTGAAGTTTGTATCACATGTAGACAGGATGGTTAACAAGGTGTTTAGCACGCTTGCCATCATTGCTAAGTTCTTTGAGTATAGGACTTGGGAAGTTATGTTGAGGTTTTATGAGACATTAGTGAGACCTCTTCTGGAAGACTGTGTCCAGTTCTGATCCCCCTGTTACAGGAAGGATATTATTAAGCTAAAGAGGGCTCAGAAGAGATTTACCAGGATGTTGCTGGGTATGGATGGTTTAAGTTATAAAGAAAGGCTGGACAGGCTGGGACTTTTTTCACTGGTGGGTAGGAGGTTGAGAGGTGACCTTACAGAGGTTTATAAAATCATGAGGGGTGTAGATAGGGTTAACGGTAGGTGTCTTTTTTCCTAGGATGGGAGATTTCAAGACTAGGGGGCATATTTTTAAGATGAGAGTAGAAAGATCTAAAAAAGACATGAGGGGCAAATTGTTTACACAGAGGGTGATTTATGTGTGGAATGAACTTCCAGAGGAAATGGTGGATGTGGGTACAGTTACAACATTTAAAAGATACTTAGATAAGTACATGAATAGGAAAAGCTTGGAGGGATTTTGGCCACGAGCAGGCAGGTAAGACTAGTTTATTTGGGATTATGTTTGGCATGGACTGTTTGGACTGAAGGGTCTGTTTCCGTGCTGTATGACTCTATGACTCCACGGCTCTATTCCATCACACTTCTGACTTGTTCCTTATAGATGGTGGATAGGCTCTGGGGAGTCAGGAGGTGGGCTATTTGCTGTAGTATTCCTAGCCTTGACTTTCTCTTGTAGTCACAATATTCAGTCTGACTAGTCCAGTTCGGTTTCTGGTCAATGGGAACCCCCAGAATAGTTGTAGTGGGGGATTCAGTGATGATTATGCCCTTGAATTTCAAGGAGATGGTTAGATTCTCTCTAGAAGGAAAGATCGTAGAGTTGCAGGGATCAGGAGTGATGAGGCCATGGATGAGTTTAAAAACAATATAATGAGTGCACACTATTAGTAATAAAGCACTTTATTTAATAGCTTCCGCATATTTTAATACCAGTTGCCGAAAACCTTTGGAAGGTGTCTGATTTTGAAATGAAGTTGGTATCACCTGAAGTGCCCATGATGCATTGTACCAAGCTACTGCCCCTCACTGCCAATGTACAGCTGGCATAGGTGTCTAATTTTTCAGATTGTGGAATTGAGATATCTGTCGAAGAGGTAGCTTCATCTTTCTGTGTTTTGTACAGATTATTATGCTGGGTGTACTTTACGGTGGATGTTGAACACAGTTTTATCAGTAAGGACTTTTCACTTTCCTACGTCTGCAGGAAGTAATTGCTCATTGGATAGCTGAGTGTCACATTGCCATTGAACAAGCCTGACTGCTTACGCTGAAAGCAGCCAGTACAATCGATACTTTGGGAACTGCGCCAGCAAGGAAGGAGGTATGATTCTATGATTGGACAACACTTGAAGAACAATTCTGAGTGTGCTAACCACCTCACTAACGACCAATTTAGGATAATCGCAACAACGCAAACATGGCTCATTTATGCCTGTTCGAAGTGTCAGACAGAATCATACAATCCCGATAGTGCGGAAGCAGGCCATTGAGTCCACATCACCCCTCCCAAAAGGAGCATCCCACCCACACCCCTACCCTATATTTTCCCCATGGCTAATCCCTGGGCAATTTAGCCTGACCTCATCCACCTAACCTGCACATCTTTGGACAGTGGGAGGAAACCCACCCAGACACGGGGACAATGTGCAAACTCCACACAGACAGTCGCCCGAGGGGTGGGATTGAACCTGGGTCCCTGGCGCTGTGAGGCAGCAGTGCTAACCACCGTGCCACCGTGCTGCCCTGGGTCATGCTGGGCCATGTTCTTTATGACTATGAGGACGATAAGCTAGGATACCTGTGAACGGCAATTCCTTCTGAACTACTTTAGCCTCTGCTGAGCACTCTCCTTTGCCAGTTTAGAGAATTTCACAGTGTCGGAAGTACTGAATGCTCATCTACAACCAGTCAAGTGGAACCACTGATCTCGCTCTAACTGGGAGAAATTCCTCATTTCATTAGAGCCAGTGCACTTGTATTTTAGTGTGGGTTGGCATTAGTGCAATGTATACTTGAATATCACAGAATGAAGAAAAAACACATGTTGCCATGGAAATACATCCCAACAATCAGAGTCCAGTTGCTAAGGATTTCTAATAAATTCCTCTAATACGCAACTTAAACTATTCCCCTTCAAAACCCCAAATACACATGCACGCATTCACATTTAAGACGAATGGTTTAGCACATGTAATATGGGTGGAAAAATAATATAAACAGGGTAAACAAAACTCCAAAGGTTGAAGTTTCAGACCACTGGGTGGAAAGTTATTTTTCTCACAATTCTTTTTGCAATGAAGACACACTATGCGCAGTAGGGTGGCTGTTGCTCTTTGGTTTGCTGGTGGATCAGGTGGACCTAGGTCTTTACTTGTTTTAGAATTCTTTCCATAAGCTTTCTTGGTTTTTCTGTATTTTTCCCGCATGGTGAGAGCAAGAGGAAGAGATGGATGCTTTCTGTTTGCAGGCTCTGGATGATTCTCCCTGGCCTGCCCTCTCACAGCTTCAAAACACTCCATTTGTATTGTACAGCTCTAAAAGTATGCAGCATTTTGAATTTCACGTTGCAAAACCCTCCTGCTATTTCAGCTATACGTCAGTCCAACTTTCGTTTTGGCTTAAAATGCCAAAAAATGAATAATGTGGTCTCTTACAAGCTGAAGTAAAATATTTTATGAAATGAGTTTTTAATGATTTCAAATGCACAGCTTGAAAGGGTGGTGGAAGCAGATTCAACAGTAATTTTCAACAGAGAATTGAATAAATACCTGTAAAGGAAATATTCACAGGGTCGTGGGGAAAGAACAAGGGTGTATTATTCTAAATGGCCACATTGTACTGGAACTAATCTCTGCCTGACGTTTATTAACAGAATGACACTTTACGAGCATGCAACTCTTAACTCAAGCACAAATGCAGAGACCCTTACTACAACTGAGGTGCATTTGAGTGTAACCCCAATTAATGGCCATCCCCGGCATAAAGTTTACTAGAATATATAATTAAGGACGGTCTGTATGGAGAGCTCACACAGTGACATAGGATCAAATATCCTCCCTGTAATGCTTTAAGAATCTATGCCTGTTTGTCTGACTCCTTGCTGTTTTCTGTCACCTCAGATTGCCATGATAAAGGTTGTTGCTCCACGAATGGCCTGTAAAGTGGTGGACTGTGCCATTCAGGTCTACGGAGGATGTGGAGTCTCCGAGGATCTTCCTCTGGCACACATGTGAGTATCAATGTGCACGTTGGAGCAATTATCACAAATATCACATGCTGCAGTTCAGCTCCTGTACAGCACTGAGAGATACGCAAAAACAAAATCATGGCAGTGTACGCTATTTTGCTAAAACCAAGCTTTCAGATCTACCCGGAGACTCGGTGATCATTACTTTGTGAGTGTCGAAAAAAAAAAGTCTTCCACCATGTGTATGGCTTATTGTACCACCATGAAGGCTGGTGTCTGTGTTTGCTGATGAGGGGCTCCATATCAATATCTTCACTCTTCACACCCTCTGCTATCGCTCACATATCCTCACCCAAAAATTGGGATGACAATTCTGCATCTCCCTTGGTTCTTCCCAGAGAGCGCATGGAGATTGGCTTGGTCTGAGCTTTCTCCTTTAAGAAATTGTCCCTCCAGCCATTTCCAGCTGGGCTGTAGTTGCTCTGTCCTGCGTGTGATGAATATAAAGAACCGACAGCCTGGAAACATACCTTTGAGCTTCATCCACAGACCCAGTGGAGCCTAAGCCTCCCACAGTCAGAATTAATGTGGAGGGTGATTTAGACTTGGGGTCATAGTATAAGAGGAGCCATATTGGATCCACAATGAATTAAATAGATTTCTTCACTTGGTAGAACACTGTGCGTGCTCAACCAGCCATTCTTTGTAAAACTCAAAACAAAATGAGTATGTACTTAATAGAAGCTGGAGTAGGCCATTCAGCCCCTCAAGCCTGTTCCGCTATTCACTGAGATTACAGATGATCTGAGTGGTTTTTTTCAATCATTCAATGCTGAGGGCATCACTGGCTGGACCCAGCATTTGTATTTCGTAATTCTGCTTTCTTATTTTTATTCATTGTGGGCAATGTTGGCTAGAGCAGCATTTATTGTCCATCCCTAATTGCCCAGAGGGCAGATATGAGTCAATCACATTGCTGTGGGTCTGGAGTCACATGTAGGCCAGACCAGGCAAGGACGGCAGTTTCCTTCCCTAAAGGGCATTAGTAAACCGGATGGGTTTTTTTTGACAATTGACAATTCCAGATTTTATTGAATTAAAATTTCACCATCTGCAGTGGCGGGTTTCAAACCCTGGTGCCCAGGGCATTAGCTGGGTCTCTGGATTGATGGTCTACTGATAATGCCACTAGACTGTTCCCTCAGCTGTCTTGAATGTTTTGAGTGTTGCCCTCCAGACATGCATCTCTAGAGCAGAGCAGAATGCAAGGTTAAACTCCAGCTGTGTGTGCATCATGGCATTTTAATGTCCACACAGTGGGGACAAGGCAGGTATGTGAGGTTAGGTCACAGATCAGTCACAACCTGACTGAATTGTTTGGAACGTGCTCAAAGGGCGAAATGATCTCATTGTATTCCTGTGTTCTCTTTTTCTGCCTCCACAGATTTAATTGGATATGCATGTCACACAGAAACATAGAAAATAGGTGCAGGAGTAGGCCATTCGGCCCTTTGAGCCTGCTCCACCATTCAGTATGATTATGGCTGATCATGCAATCTCAGTACCCCACTCCCATTTTCTCTGCATCCCCCTCAATCCCTTTAGCCTCAAGGGCCATATCCAGCTCCCTCTTGAATATATCTAATGAACTGGTTCCAACAGCTTCCTGTGGTAGAGAATTGCACAGGTTCACAACTTTCTGTGCAAAGGAGTTCTTCCTCATCCCAGTCCTGAAAGGCTTACCCCTTATTCCTGGACTGTGTCAATGCTGACCCATTGAGATTCAGTACCGTTTTGGATCCAGTGATATTTGGGCATCAGTCAGACTACAGCCAAGCCATGTCACAGTCAGACTCACTAAGATCTGGTGTCTTTCAGGTACTCCATCTGCGTATAGCTGACGGGCCAGATGAAGTGCATCTCTCCGCTATAGCAAAACTGGAGCTAAGGGAGCAGCTTAAAAACTCCATGGCAAAGCTATAAATAATTGTCAGAATGCAAGATCGACCAAGGCTGCAACCAGACAGAGATAACATAACATTGGCCTCCTGTTTTCCAATGCAGTGATAGATTGAAGCATCAATTACCGGAAATATTGCACATTGGACAATGAATCACCTAACATATTAATCCAGCATCTGTATACCAATTACATCTTTGTTTCTGCTCCCCAAACACCGCTGTGTTATAATTTGGAAATAACAACCATTCATGCAGAGGAAGAGTGATTTATTTCTTTGTGTTTGGAGCATATATTGGTGGGGAACAAATGTGTCAGAGGAAGCAAAACTGTTGGCATAATGCAGTAATGAAATGATCAAAAGCATGTTGCAAATTTGCATAATATAATTACTGTCACTAAACTGTGACAATCCAGGGGACATAATGAAATCCCATATTCCTCTTTTTTTTATTATTTATCCCATATATTAATCGATTTGGAGCAGTTATAGAGGACAGATTCCACCAAAGCTGTCTTCCCACCGCACCAAACCTGGCATGTTCGAATATATTAACAACAGCCTGCATTTATAAAGTGCCTTTAATGTACTGGAGCATCCAAAGGGACTTCATCCCATAATTTAGGATGCCAAGCCTCGTGAAGGCATATCAGGCTAGACGTTTGAAACCGTGGTCAATGAGGTTGATTTGAACCAGTGTCTGAAAGGACATGAGAGAGAGGTGAAGAGGTTCTCTGCAGTAATTCCAGACCTTGGGGCCTAGTCATCTGAAGATATGACAGTCAGTGGCGGACTGAGCAAAATTGGGAGTACAAATGAGGCCCAGAATTGGAAAAGCACAGAGATTTTGAAGGGTGGTAGAGCTGGGGTAGGTTGCAAAGATGATTTGAAAATAAGGACGAACATTTTATAATTGAGGTGTTGCCAGTCTAGGAACCAATACAACCATAATAAATCTCACTTTTATGTGTTCTACAACATTATGGACATTAATCTATCAGATTTTAGCTAATGTTTCAATAAATATGTTTCCTATGTTAATTACTTCTGAGATTACAGGGGAAATCAATTGACCCGATGCCAAATTTAATCTAATTTGCTCCTCTGATGGGTCCAAGGACTTGGCTGGTCATTTGATATGACACAGCTTGTTAATGTTTTCACAGGTTGACTGCCACATTTATTTACCAAAGAATGTTGACAGCATTTCCAAAAGTAATTGATTGGTTTCACTGTGCTTTGGGATATCTTGAGGATATGAAAGGCACTTTATAAACGCAAATGCATCTCTGTCAAAGGATTTTCATTGCTTTTTGATGTTCATTCAGGGGTTAAGAGTGTTGCTGGTGGACCAACATTTATTGTCCATTGTTAATTGCCTTGGAGGAGGTGGTGATGAGCTAGCTTCCTCAACCATTGCAGTCCTTGGGTGTACAGGCACCCACAGTGCTGTTAGAATTAGGTTTTATTGTCATGTATACTCAAGTACAGGGATACAGGAGTACATTGAAAAGTGTACAATGTTGCTATTCACTGCTTCATCTTAGGTACAAGGTACCTAGGTCGAAAATCTTAGGTATAAAGTAGAAAAATAATGGAATAAGTTAAAAGTTCAACATTATGGTTCTTCTCAGTATAAAGTAGTAAATAAGAAATAAAGTTAAAAGTTCCAAATTACTGTCCTTTAACCATGGGTCTGCAGTCGCTCTCTCTCTCTCCCACACTGGGCTCGATCTCTCTCCTCGTGCTGGGCTCAATCTCTCTCCCCGCGCTGGGCTCGATCTCTCCCTCATGCTATATTGACCCAGTGGCAGTTACGGAACAGTGTTATATTTCCAAGTCAGGATGGTGAGTGACTTGGAGGGGAACCTGGAGGGTGTGGTGTTCTCATGTATCAGCTGCCCTTGTCTCTGTAGTTGGTGGAGGTGGTGCTAGTAAATGGAGCCTGAGTGAGTTGCTGCAGTGCGTCTTGTAGGTGGTACACAGTGGTGGCTCAGTTAGAGGTAGTTTCCCATAAAATTTAATTCCCTGCATTGCCCATCCTGAAACTGAATATATATTCATCATTCAAACATGAATTCTACAGTTTCTAAATGAATAGAAATCTGCAATATCGACAAATCACAATGCTCACATTTTGTGATGAAATATAACTCCTATAATTAAAAGAATGTTAGTTTTGGAATAAGCACATTGCACGAGCAGGTTGGAAAACAGCTGTACCTAGGCTGTATACATTAATGCCTACCTCAATCCTTCATACTAAGAGTCTTGATCAACTGATTCCGCAGATATTTTGAAGACATAGGCTGGGCCTGATAATTGGAAATTAAAAAAAACTGATGAAGAGACAACGTTCTGGTATGATTAACAGGAAATTGACTTTGAAAGTATTTTTATGGCCAGTGGTGTTCCTGTAGCTGACAGAATACCAGAACTGTGTTTAAATGAATAAGAAACCGGACAAAAACGAGGAGTTTGGGCTAATTAGTGGCTTGTGGCCAGTTGATACAAAACATTTCATAATAAGCACTTTACAGTGTCAAAAGAATGAAGAGCAAAAATAATCTTAAAATTTGAAATAAAGCTGACAATATTGTTAGGATACTGTAGGTTGGTCAGAGATGAGTGGTTAACCTTTTAGATAACCTTCACCTTGTTCTACAATGAAGGGAGAAAATATTGATCCAGGAATGCACTGACCACTTTGCTCACAATGTGGAGTTCACCTACAGTGGTAACCCCTTCATTTCTGCACCCAACTAAACTGTACTGCATGTGTCAGTCTATTTTTCATTCCCTGTAATTATATTTTCTGATTTCACCCAATTTGTCTTTTTTCAGCTTTCCTTTATGCCTTCTTCTTTTGCACACAGCGGATCCCAATTTTGTTCTTTATCTGTAATTTGACTCCAGATCATTTCGTTCTTTCCAGTTCCCAGTCTGTGAAATGGAATTACATCCATCCTGAAGATGAGTAGATTAACACTGTACTGAAAGATGGTACAAATGATGAGAGAACGAAGACTCATGCAGTCATGGATCTGTCGGAATTGGCACAGCAGAAACTGCTGAAAGAAGCAAATCACCTTGCCAAGAGCAGACAGGACACCATGAGTACGAAAGGGAACCCATCAATCACCAACAACACTTCAAATTCTTCTAGTCGTCTAGTTGAGTGAAGCACTCAGTGAATCACTTCTGGTGCTCTCTTGTAACTGAAGACTGCAATTTTTGCTAAATAGTCTTAAACATTGTTTTTTCAAGTAGATCTCGGCACTATCAAACTATCTATCATGACACTTTAGCCTCATAATAGTCGATGGGATGAAAACATCCTGGATATATTACAAGGTTGGGAGGGTGGGGGCGATGACCTAGTGGTATTATCGCTGGACTGTTCATCCAGAGTCCCAGGTAATGTTCTGGGGACCCAGGTTCAAATCCTGCCACGGCAGATGGTGGAATTTGAATTCAATAAATATCTGGAATTAAGAGTCTGATGATGACCATGAATCCATTGTCAATTGTTGGAGAAATCCATCTGGTTCACTAATGTCCTTTAGGGAAAGAAACTACCATCCTTAACTGGTCTGGCCTACATGTGACTCCAGACCCACAGCAATGTGGTTGTCTCTTAACTGCCCTCTGGGCAATTAGGGATGGGCAATAAATGCTGCCTAGCCAACGATGCCCTCATCCTGTGAATGAATAAAGGAAAAAAAGTTCCTAATGAGTGGATTCAGTGCAGTGGTAGCTGGCTACATCATTCACCTCACACTGTAATACAAAGTCTACTCACTTCCTCCCAGGACTGAGGGTGTGGTAAAAATATCTCTCCAGCTCTACACCTTGTTATCTCTCTTAAAGCTGTCTTATCCTTCAGGGTGGGAAATAGTTGAGCAAACAAGCAGAGCTGCTGCATCAGAAGAGAAAGAGAAGAGTAGCTCTTTTAGATTTGAGGAGCATTCTCAATTGAAGAGTAGTAGCAGAGCAGCTTGAAGGGGAGTGGCTGAGAGTAAGTAGCACTGTGGCTCGAACAAACCTGAGAATGAAGGTGGCAGAAACTTCAATTGCTGAGAACTTCCCAAGGTAGGTGGGCTTACACTTTGGTTAATTTGACCATCTCACTTTGGTTAATTTTATCACCTTTTGGTACATTTTACTGGAGTTTTGCTGAAGAGGGGTAACATACAGCTCTTCTATAGAATCCGTTGCCCAATTTATCAAGTAGGTGGTGTGTGAATGGGTTTCTTCAAGCCCAAAGTGATGTAGAACGAATGAAGATAGTTTCTGATCCAACTAGTAGAGTCCTGTTGAGTAAACAATATGAAGTTTATTGCATTCCTGCAACTATTTACATGAATATAGCTTGCATTACCTTGGTGAATGTTAGACGCGCTCTAACCTTAGTTGTGACTTCCACAAGCTTCTCATTTACACTCACCGAGTGCCCATTGACATGATTACAGTGGCTGATGCTTACTACCTTCGATCATGTATTAAACCTTTCAGACCCATAGACAACAGGCAGAACATAAAGAGATGAAGTGTAATGCAGGCAAGTAGAAAGTCCTACATTATCAGTGGGTGATTAGATGACAAACACTCCATAAATTGAACAGCCTCAGGGAAGCAGAAAGAGACCCAGGTGCATGAGTTGAACACAATCCCAAAAACTCAACCAATTCAGAGCATTAGTCAACAAGGACCACAGAATTTTGCATGTGGCTAGGTTGTACAAGAAGTAGTATGGATGAATATTGATACAGTGGGCCAAGCCATGACAGATGAAGTTCAGTACTGGTTGGAAAGATAGATCAGAGACTTTCTAAATGGCAAGAAGTTAAGAAATGTGGGAGAGGTTGAGAGAGTTAAGGGTCTCTGTATGAAAATCACCAGAAGCCATTGCACTGGCACAAACCATTAATCTGAAAAGTGAATGCAATGTTGTCCTTTGTCACAAGTGACCTTGAAATCAAAGAAATGGAAGTTGTATCAGGTTCTTTTAACCTCTGGATATACCACACCTGGAATATTCTGTTCAGTTGCTTGTGTGTCAGGAGGGGTACATTGGCCTCTAAAGGTAAATATGGCCCCTCAGAATCCCATCTAACAACATACCCACCGCTGATGTAAGACTCGCCAGTCTATAGTTCCCAACTATGTTGCATTCTTGAGGGAAAACTTCAGGGAGTCTTTGAAACACTTCTTTTTGTCTTCTGCTCCTTTGTGTACCTTCCGTGAGCTGAGAA